TGTACTACAGTTGAATCATAGAATCATAGAATGCATGTAGTTGGAAGAGACCTCCAAGATCATCGTGTCCAACCATCAACCAGCGTGGAGCATGCCCACTAAACCTTGAATGTTCAACCATGCAAATGCATGTACTGTCCTTGCTAGGGCAAGAAGTACGTGTTTCTTGTACATTAAGCGTGGAGTAGGACGTGAACTGTCTGCGGTGTTCTGGTTGGCTTGCTGGAAATCTGCTACCTGGCAGCGTGACTGCCAAGAGTACCCTCTTGAGCCAAATATGCTATCTTTCAAAGGTGTTAAGAAAATAAATATAAGCATACTGATTTTGAAGACCTATTCTTGTCACAGGTAATTCCTCTGTTACAGTGCACAACTGCTGGAGTGGCAAACCATGATAATGGTAATCAAGGTTTTACCCTGTGAGGTAAATGGGAAATCCATGATCGCTGATAAATTTTCCAATACCTGTTGTGGATAACTTGCAAGCTGAGTGAAATTCTGGAAGTGCTTGCCTGAATTTATTAACAATTTAAATGCACTACAACCAAAAAGCATCATGTTTATCACTTGGATAAATAATCTAGTCATGTGAATTATACATTCTAAAGGTGCTTTAAAATTATGTGGAATCTAAGACCCTTTTTGCTGTTCCTGTAGTAATTAGTTTCAACCCAGTCTTTCTGGTTACCATTGGTCCTTAAAAGATCCATGCCAGACTTGCTACAGAAGTAGCACCTCATTGGGGCCTGCTAGTCTTAGGTGAGGACAGGCATTGGTGCTGGAGGAAGACAAATGCCAAACACCTTGAAGCCCTTTCAGCAGGGTGCCACAGGGTGTCACCAGTGCGCTCAATATAGTCCAGCTTAACGGGGATGTTTCATGGTAGTGACGTCAATCTGAAATGATTGTGTTTCCTGAAGCTCTGCAAAACCCCAAAAGCAGAGTTCCGAAGTCTTCAGTGAACTGTTAGGGCGTGGCGTCAAACTGACTCCTGAAACAAACAATCCGGATCTTTGACGAGATGTTTGGCTGTTGAAACTGAGAGCAAGAGGGCCGAAAGCTTTGCAACAAGCAGCTGTGTGCTTGTAAATGCAGGGAACCTGCTGCTTAGGCTTAGCAGGCTTCCAAGCTCCTTTTGAGTGTGTATTTGTAGAACCACATTTAAAATCAGACAGATACACTTTACCAAAACCGGTGGAGAGCTGAAGGATATTCTAAGACTAACTGATTCTAAGAGGCCTTTTAAAAAGATGGACGAGTGAATGGTAGGGGTTCATTTTAAATCACCTTGTAAAAAATTTAACAACAAAAGTTTCAGATTTTGCCATGGTTTAAGCCCAGCTGCCAACTGAGCACCACACAGCCGCTCGCTCACTCCCTCCCAGTGGGATGGGGGAGAGAATCAGAAGCATAAAAGTGAGAAAATTCATGGGTTGACATAAGAACAGTTTAATAATTGAAATAAAATAC